TCAAATACATCTCAGCCTTTCAACTTTATTCATGAAACCAAAAGGGACCTTCCAAAGGGAGACACGTTTCCAACAAAAACTAGCAGTGATTTTTACTCTGCTTTTAAGAGCTCATCAGCTGTCAACACTTCCCTGGCTGATGAATCACTGCTCTGACAAATTTAATCCAGAGCTTGTTCAAGACATGTGACAAAGGTGGCCAACTCACTCATGATGACCATCCAGAAACACAGTGCTAGGCTTTATATGAGCTTTCAGCACTCTGAATTCCATGTTTTCACAAGATACCACACCTTGCCTTAAAAAGCGATGATCTGCAGTATTACAGCACCATGCCTCACTTGCAGACAAGTTACTTACCTACCCAGATGCAAGGATTTTCAACTTTTCCAGCCTCTCCAGCCTTTTTTATTCCTTTGGGATTACTGCTCAACTTGCTGCCTAATCCTGGTTCCCTGTCCTGCCAAAAAAGCTAACAAAAATACCAGCTTTCCCTGCCTTTTAACCTGGTAGCTGAATACCTATTCCATCCACACGTTGGAGAATGTGGGCCAAATCAAACAGGAGCATGGCTATGGGACTGGAAAGCAAACAGCATGCTTAGTTTTTTATGTTCTTATCATGATGCTGACAGACAGAAGGAAAAAAATATGAAAAGCAGCTTTATCAGAAGTTCATAAAGAGAGGGCAATCACTTACTTCCGCGACGGATGTTAATCAGCAGATTTCCCTTGAGAATTGTGCATCCCTGCAACATTTGCGCTGAGGTGACAGAGTCAATGGTCTTCGTTTTCCCATCCTCACAAATTTTGGGGCAAGGCCCCTCACAAGGACTGCAGAACATGCTGTTAGAAAAGAAAGGGAGACTGAAAACAAGCAACGATATGAAACTCCGAGTCTACAGGCTGCTTTGAGCTAAATTCTGAAAGACTCTTCCCTCTAAAGCTTAGGGAAATCCTTTGAGCTAGATGGAAAGTAACCATTCTTCTGCAGAGGGCTGCAGGTAACTTTGCACACTTGCCCGCTGGACTCCAGAGAGGCTGCCAGCTTCTGAAAGGCTTTCTGGTCCTTCCAAAGCCAAAGACACTTGGGGTAAAACCCAGTGCCTTGCATTTGTGCATTTACTCTAACTTAGTTATACCAAGAAAGACCACCCTTCTCATCTGCACAGTCTCAGAGCGCTGTGAAGCTTTGTGCTCCCTCCAAAAACAGGCAAGTCGGGAAAACACTGTTCAACTTGTTCTGAAGTTGTCTGTCTCCGCGCCATTAAGCCAACATTTGAAGCTCTGCACTGGGGAATGTCATGCTCCTGGCCGTTTAACTCGGGAAAGACAACCCGGGGAGCATACGGTCATGAATGATGTGGAGAAAGTAAGCAATGAATTAGTCATTATTTTTTATAGCTTAAAGAGGTATTGAAGTAGCAAGTGTAAACAAACAGACGGATGCGTTTTGATGCAAGGCAAAACTAATTTGTAACAGGAATTGGGAGAGACAGGCCAGAAGTCTAAGCAGGTTCAAAACGGATTATACAGATGGAAAGAGAACAAGTCCACCAGTGACCATAAAACACGAAGGCAGACATAGCCCTGAACTCGGAGAAACTGGAGATGCTGGGAAGAAACGCTGAAGGGTCACTTCTCCTGCTTTTACCCTCACAAGCACTGATAAACTTTTTTCAGTGGCCAAACTCAAGGAACATCACCACTGGCCAGCCTAGCCTTTGGCTACAGCAGCTCTTTCAAGGTACCGTGTTACACAGTCTGCATACTTGTCTCAAAATGGAAAACTTCATGTGTGCACAAAACATGCCTCTGATCACTCCTCCTGGTAAATGCCTTTCCCAACTCAAAGTAATTTTTATTTGTCAAGGTAGTTTTTATTTTTCAATTCATTCTAGCACTTCCCGTTGTATTTCATTATCACTTACTCCACCTTATTGCTTTGCAGGGGAAAAATGAAAAAGAAAAAACCAAACAAACGCAGCTCCACAGGCTTCTGATGACAACACTGCTAAGCATGGACTTACCATGATTCCTTCTAAAAGAAACAGAACCCTCTTTCTTCTGAGGATTAAAGAAACACGTATATTGATAACAATAGTTTTTCATGCATAAATATAATAAGCAAGCTTCTTTTTCTTAGTAAGCTCCTATTGCAAAATTGTGCATGTAACGTGCCACAAGCCACCAAAAGCTGCAGACACGACCAAGAGGAATTCACCTAAATGTACAGAGAATGTTGGAAATGCTCTCCATTTGCAACTATTTGTTAACAGCCCCTCTGGGGAACAAAACATTCACCACCCTTGAGTCACATCAATCTTTGCAGCAGAGAACAACCTCGGATGGCCAGGCACAGCAGTGCAAGCGATTCAAATAACTGGTACTACGAGCTCAGGTAGGTAAAAGAAAAGAAACATTTCTCAGGTGAATATCTGGATTGGAGAGAAGGCAGTGAGAAACACATCCAAGGGTCAACAGGGGAGTGCCTTACTGTTGGATTGAACAGATGGATGACACACATGCACGCACAGACGCACCAGTGCAGGTATGAAAACAATCACCTCTCCAGAATACCCAACATCCTAGAGCAGCCTACAAAGATGCCTTTCTCCCTAAGTGCCAAAGCACTATGAATTTCAGCACACTGACTACATCCTTCACTCCAAGTCCACAACTTCCAAAGGTCAGTAGGCAATGAAGGCTGCTTGCTTAAACCACTGGCGAAGTAAGAAAATCATAAGCACGCATCACTCCAACTGCTAAAGAACAGCAGGGGAGTGACATTCTTGCAACAAATTGCCAAGCGATGCATTACTTTTGTCGCCACCCACGTGATTATTCCCTTCTAAAATACCATTGTTATCTTCTGGCAACAGCGAAAAAAGGGAAATAAAATTAAATATGCTAAAGAACACAAGTTGTCTAAAATGCAAGCACACATAAAGCAAATGGGAAGTTAACTCCTATGATTTATTCTGCATGATGATGGTCATCGGTCAACCTCCAACCTGTGTTCCTGAGCCTTCACTTTCAATTTTGTTACTGACTACTTGAAGACCAGGTTCTGGACTGTACTGACCTCCTCGAATCCTTCAGAACAATCAGTGGCACCTGGCAATGCATAGGACCAAACATTACCAGACCCTCCAGTGGCAAATTCATTTAAGCAAGTCTTTACTGGGTAGTCAGGCAATTCCCCATTGTATGTTCTCATTCCAACCTCATGCCACTCGCATCACAAGCTGCCACAGAACAGGGGTGGAAAACCCCCAACCTGACAACTCCAATGGACTTTCCAGAAGCTGCAATTACCTTTGGCTCCCGTTGCGGATGAATCCAGAGGGGCACTCTGCCATGCACTCATCATTGTGAATCACAAACCTCTCGTATTCACTTGTTTCGGTGGCAGGGACCTTGGAGCAAAACTCTTTAGTCACGCAGCGCCAGCCCTCAAACTTGTAGGTGTTGGGAGGGCAGGTGGGCATGCAGACTCCTTCGTAGTAGTAGTTGCGGCAGGCCACGCAGGCGGTGTTGTTGTCGGGCGCCGTGCAGCTCCCCAAGCACTCGGGATGGCAACACTCGTTTTGGTCTGTGCAGGCTCGCTTGCCACATGAGCTGGGGCACACTGCAAGGCACAAAAAGCAAGGCAGCATGAACAAAAGCTATTAAGCGAAGTGAACAGCATTCAAGGAAAAACCCCAATCCATAGAACCCTACATTTTCATTCCCTGGGCTCCAGAGTATCTCTGAAAGAGAACCAAGTCCTGTAAAAACAACAAATTATACTCTTTTCCATTGTATTAGTTGCCCAAAAAGATCTTTTTCTTGGGTCAAATTTATAACATGAACCAATTAGACAGTAAGGAAAACTTCAGAAAGCAAGATCAGCTACGGATAATGGAAACAGGCAAATGCTGAAACCTGTTCCATAGTCCTAGTACTACAGTTAACTTCTTTGATTATTTTTGAGTGATGACTTACTGTCTTCCTAAGCATTTCCTGTATTTGTACAAATCAGTCTTTTACTGGCAAAACAAATTTCCTTTGAACAACTTAATCACACTCGTACAATAAAGCCCTGCTATACTGTAGCACACATGGCTAGGCTGACCCCAATGTAGCATCCCAATGTTGCTTATGTATGCAAAATGAGGCTTAATGAAGTACAGATGGTAGACATCAAACGCTGTGGAATCGCGGAACTCCTATTTTCCCCTGAAGAGCGTAACAGAATTCTGCCTTATCCCCAAATTCCGGGTTCAGAGCATGAAAGGCAGAAAGAAAAACGGGGTGCAAATTTATGGAGGCATTCGCTGTACGTGAAAGCATTTCAACTTGGAAGACACGAACAAAGAGCAGACTCGTCAGCAGACAAGCTTACCACTGTTACATCAAAAGAAGTGGCAGCATTATATTTATGTAACAACAACATTTTGATTACAGGGTTGTATGGCCTTTTAGCCATGAGAGTTGTGTGCCAGAGGCTCTGTAAACAAACACAGATAGGAAATCTGGTTTGCATTAAGCAACTGTTTTCCACTTTCTAACTTTGCTAAAACACAGCACCAATAACAACGGCACAGAGCAAAATTTCAGTAGTACGACTTCAGCGAGCTGCAAGCAAAGCAGCATGACATATAAACCGAACCATTTGAGCAAAACGCATACAACCGAAGAAGTCAATACCCTACAACGAATGCGGAAGCTAGCAGAGACCAGCCCTTAGAGGAAGACAATGTTTATGAAAACAAACAGTGCCACAGAAGTTCTGCGTGGCAATTTATCTTTCAGTTTGCAACTACAGTGTTGTTTGAATCATGGAATCATAGAATTGAAGGGACCTTAGAGATCATTTTAATCCAGCCTCCTTGCCTCCACGGATGCCCCCTCTCGACTAGATCAGGCAACACATGGGGACCGAACGGGAATCGAACCCGTGACCTTAGCGTTGTTAGCGCCACGCTCAACTGACTGAGCTGACTGGCCCCCTAAATGCAGGACTAAATATCCTAAAATCTTGACCCACTCCTCCTCTCCCATAATGAGTGTGCTTCTGCAGCATTATTGAGAGGAGCACCACAGTCATGACACAGACCCAAAAGCGTGACAGTGCTATTAATTAACAATTACAAGAAAGGGGGAAAAAAGGAAAAAAAAACCCTACACACACACACACCACCCCCCCAACCAACAGTTCTCCGCTCTGCATCAGAATGTAGACATGATATGTCGAAAGTTCTGATTGTAAGGTTACTTTTTTTTTGCCAGGGAGTGTCCACCTTGAAAAGGACTTGTAAAACCGCTCGCAGAGAATTTTCCATTTCTTATCAAAATGGTTCTATACTGATCTTGCTTATTTTTGTTCACTCTTTTTTAAGCCCTAACTTCCAACGTCGCCGGTTTAAGCATCTGGCTACGAAGCTGGGTTCTCCTTATCCAGTTAAGTCTAAGAAAGGTTTCGTGGAGGAAATTGCACCTGCAGGTACTCCCCGAAGTAACCCAAGAGCCCTACCAGGGTCTCCCCTGTACCAGCAGGCTGTTACGAAGCATCACCAGTCAAACCTGCTGATAGTACTCGACAGAGCTATTGCTTGTACATATGTAGCCACGTAACACTAACACAACACGCGAGTGTCAAAGATAGCGTGGGTACCCTGAATTGAATGCAGCAGTTCTACTGCATGAGAAGGTGCTGCTGAAGTCGCTTAAGAGCTCACCTGTCTTTTCCAATTAGAAATTAAACATTATTTCACCCTGCAGCCCTTTGCTTGCACATACTGTTACTATAACCCAGATGCAGTGCTGTTATTTATCACTGCTGCTCCGTACCCGTATCCTCAATTTTTTTTAGAGTGAAAAGAGGTAAAAAAAGTACAAGGGGGGTGGTGAGGGGAGACTATGAGAACAAGGGAGCACGAGGATGTCCCATGCTTGCCCAGGTAGCTCGAATGTTGCCTTCAGGCCAAATTAATACAATTTTTGCAGAGCTGGTCACTCATAAGACTACTGAGACCATCAGTGCAGAGGAAATCACTTGTAAATAGTGTACTGCATAAAGATCCTGGATTATTTTTTTTCTCCCTGAAAAGGAAGAAAACCCAAACATACGCATCAAACCTTTCTGCGAAACTATACAAGCATACAGGAGTATACTCTTTATTTTTGAAGGCAACCTGCACCAATGTAAAAGGAGTAAAGTCTGCCCAGATGCTAGCTTAGTAAGGCATCACAAATTGCCTCTCACCTTAAGGTATAGGCACTACTTGCATTTGCAACTACTAAAGGATTTAAAAAAATAATTAAAAAAAAGAAATCAAGCATGTCTTGCTAGCAGATGGACTGCTGTTCTGAGTGGGTGCTGGAACTCAAATTTTGTGGGGTAGCTACATTTCCAGTTCAAAGCCCTACTAAGAAAAAAAGCACACATACCCGCCATGTTCCACAAAGTTCATTACTAGATGCATTGATTAACTATATGATTTTTTTGTGGTTGTTGTTTTCATCTAGACTGTCTGCTAAAAAACGAACACTGCTACATTAAGTATTCAGATAAATATAGTAGAAGAAGACTGAGCTTATTTCATTCTTAGGGAAGACTTGTGTATTCCCTTAATGCCTCTGCCATTCATGAACAGTCTGCTATATAAATAGGATTCTCCTGGTAAATCTGCTGACTCTCGTCTACAGAGATATAAATTGAAGCACAGACGGATACATAACACGAGTTCACAGGAAAAAGGCAATCAGTGAAACAGGTTTTCAAAATTGCAATAATATTTTAATCACAACCAGTTTAAAAGAACTCTTGAAAACTTTTCAAAGATAATTTTTTAAAAGCTCAGCAACCTCACTTCTCTCTCAGTGCTGTTTTTTTGCTTGTGCTTGCTAACATTGGTGTAGTTTTCAGCCTGGAGACAATACGGGTATCCTGTTTCTTTGAAGAGGCAGAACAAGAACTTTTGTGTCTGTATACGATATATGATGAACAACAACTCTTATCTGCTTTACATGCCAGTCCCCTCAGACAATGTTGTTATAAAGACGTTACAAACAACGCTGGCTGGCTGGCTTTACAATCCAGCCTCCATCTATCCTTCTCTCTGCCCTCCCAAAAGGTGTGACTTGAGCTGCTAGGTGTGTACCGAAACATTTAAAAGGGAGGTTCCAAAACACTTTTGCCAGAAAATTCCCTCTGAAAACCGTTTGACTTCAGTCTGCAGGAACATTAGGGAGACGAGCATAAGCAAATCGTGGGCTGACATTTGAGGACAGAATTTATCAACCAGATGCAACAGTGCCTTGGATCACACAGGCTGATGACCGTGTATACAAAAAAAACCAACCCCCGGAACAAATCCTTGCTGACAAGCACAAGGGCAAAAAGTGCTTAATTGTCATCATGTGGAGCTACCAAGATAATGGGAAATTTCAGAGACCTTGGAGGGCAGCCGTGGAAGAAGGAAGTCAAAACAAGACATGGACAAGGGCAGACCCTTAAGCAGCTTCCTGACTTTAATAAAGAGATGATGGAGGCTTAACTAGACCAGAGTGGCTACATTTAGGGAGTGAAAGTACTCAGTGATCATCAGATATTCAGAGAAGGACATTACAAGAATACTAGTAGCCACAAATCAAATTTACTAGAGCAAAACCAACCACAGCAGTTTCTTTGACCACCCATTCTTCACCTTCTTACTGGTTTCTTCAAATGAGAAGTTTTTCACATCAACAAAATTCAAGAGATTGTCCAAATACTTCATTCGTTGCCCAAATATTTCATTCCACGATACCCACTTACTAAGCAAATCAGATTCAGACCTGATATACGGGTACTTTAAAACTAAAGGCAACGATCTTACAAACAAGAGGAGCTTCAAGAGAATCTGACTCAGAGACTCATTACTCTCAATGTAATTTCCCAAGATGTTAAACCAAAATTGCAAACACAAAGCAACGTTGGGAAATCCTCAAACCCAATCCTCCAAAAAAAGCAAGAGACAAATCATCTGTCTGTATTTACGGCAGTTCCTTTTTGGACAGCCTCGCGCTAAGGAGGTGGTAGTAAGTTTGCCCGGCATTTAATACCTCCCTGCTATTTGAAGTGCGCACAACGCTAAAGCTCGCCGCAAACATTCCGCGTTGACATCACGGCTATTGTACGCTTTGGGCAGACAAAGTGTTCTTATCACCTCTGAGACACCATGACTTCAGCACCGCCGAAACAGAAAAATCAGGTGAATAAACAATCAGTCACAGGGAGTGAAAATGCAGCCAGAAGAGGAAGACTTCTGGCAAGCTGAGCCTCTGGCCTCTGCCAAGGATGGCGCCGTGCCAGTCACATGCGGGCGAGCAAAAGGTTGCCAAGTGTGGGATAAATATTTTTTTTAAGATTCTTTCTCTCCTTGTAAACCGATACTTGATCCTTCCTTTTTAATACTGTTTCTACTTTTTTAGAGCATTCTACATATAAAATAATGTTTCAGAAAGAAAAAAGGTGGGAGGGGGAAAGCTTGGTTATGAGCAGAAACGAGAGGAGGAAGGGAGCATTTTCTTGTAGCCAACTACTGAAAAAATTAGCTGTCTAAATTTATCCATAAAGACAGAAAAAACCCGTCATTTTCGGAATGTTAATCCCTCCACATGACAGAATTTTTAAAATATTGCATTTTAATGGTCTAAACTTTGGTACAGTCTTTCAAATAGCTGACTTCAAATGCTCGCGCAGCCTATACAAGACCCGATTTCTTTTGCCCAGTACACTGTGAGAATAGAGAGACTGGAGAGACATTAGTCAGAAAATCCAGTTCCAGTGATTCATGGCCAGGGCTGGAATCAAGAAACTACAGAAGAAAGGCTGCAGTAAAGAAACAGACATATTAAATACAAGCTGTAACATGGGTCCAAGTGGTCTCCAAAGAACTGAAGAGGCCACTTAGAGCAGCTATATAAAATCTTTATATTGCTACAGAAACGGGTATTAGCAACGTATTAACAAAGGTATATTTTGGTGGGGTTTTTTTTCCTGTTTTCCCCGCACTCGAATGCTGATTATCCCACAGCCAGTGAAAATCCTGACGGAAAAAAATGCTGCCATGTTGAACTATTTCTAGGTATATTTATGAAATGAACTGCCTGATCTCAAAGGTTCAGTTCAACCCAACACTGATACCAGACTTGAAAATGATCACCTCTTTAAACTTCTGTTACGTACACAAACACACTCACCAGTAAGATATTTGGATAGGTCTACAGAAATTTATACAGAGAATCAAGAAGAAGGCATTAAGTCCACAGCCTGCAAGCTACATTTGATTTGAGATCATTTCACTGGTCTTGTGTTTCCACGTTGACATCCTTGTCAACTTTTATCTGGCAGACCTTTCTAAGGATCTTGAAATTATTCTGAGGTCATCCTGTGAATTATTCTCTTCCCACTATCCAAATCTCACCGATTCTATGATTCTAAGTTCAGGTACATCACAAAGCTTCCACACAAAGCTTTTTGGTCTCTTGCTTCTTGGTGTTTCAGTTTGACACCGACACTGTACGCCCTATCTCCTAAGTGAGGGAATAGGTGTGATAAAGTATCCAGAACCTCAAAACAATCTCAAAGGATTTGCACAACCTGACATCAGCCCACTAGCTGCTAAATTTTTCATCACATGAAAGGAGTCTGGTCTTGCATCCCCTGGCTCAGGATGTTATGGTTAACAACATGACACCAAATGTCTGTACAGCCAGTTGGGCAGCAACTGCTCAGACAGAAGCGCTTGCAGAAGATTCTAGAGCAAAGGACGTGGAAGAAAGGAGTGGAGACAGGTTAGGAGAAGAAAGCTGAGCACTACTCAGCACCTGGAGACTCTCAGATACCACCTGATACAGTAAGATCTATGAAACGGGGAGGAAACATTTATCATTCAATGAAACAAATCCTTGGCTAGAATATAGCAAGGTACTCAATGCCCTCTGGTTTTACAATTTTCTTCTTCAACACTGGTAGTTTCCCTTCCCCTCAGAACAGTTTCAGTACATAAAGTATTTCAGATAGCACACATATCAGCACAACCCTGAGGAGCAAGAGGCCCATGGCATGGTTTGTAATCCTTCATACACATAAAATATCTCACCGTAACGTACCCAGAGCTCTCCTTCCCGTCTGAAAAGAATGGAGCAGTCTGCTGAAAGCAATGATGAAAACAACAGAATCACAGAATTGCCCAGATTGAAAAAGACCTTTAAGATCATCTAGTCCAACCATTAACCTAACACTGACAAGTCCTTGACTAAACCATATCCCTAAGCACTACGGGTACACGACTGAAATAACTCCAGGGATGGAGACTGCACCCCAGTGAATACACTGGAGTATGATGAACCCACCAACCTCCTTTGGCCATCTATCATTCATTCTCTACCCTAAAGTTACCTCAAAACAGCTTCCAGGCTTCCGAGCTGTGATACATAACAACATATGTGCTAAATCCATTTTATTTAGAGTGACTGGAGGACTTAGGGACACTGTTTGGCACCATAAAACATCCCACCACTTCAGACTTCCTGCAAGTGAAGCAATCAACCCTGCTAAAAGCTCCAGCAGCGTTATGGCTACTCATACCACACTGAAATGGGAGCAACTGGTAACCCAAGCGAAGAAAACTACCTTAGACCACAGTCAACAGGAACCAACAGATAGTACAGGTACTGTTTGCTCCAAAGTACATAGTACTAATGACCAAGAAGGGGCAAGTAAACATGACTTATTGACAAACCCAGGCAGCACAAATTGCATTCTCTTTCAAAACAGTTTATATTGCCCAGCACAACCCAGCCTGGCATCATTGCAACTGGCACTCGAGAGAAAGAGGAGAAAAACAAGTCCATTCTGTCCCTTCCACACCAGTATGAATTCAGTACATAAACAAATCCAACTGAGGCATATACACAAGCATCCCTCAGGCGTTCAGGCCAGTTTTACTCTATCTTCAACACTAGGTAAACAAATCGGTTGGGCATGTTTTGCCCTTAGTGCCGCACCGTTCTGGAAACATTTCCTCTATGAAAAGGGAAATTTCCCACTAGAAGACACAAATGAGAAGAGTAACACCGATGCCAACGGGAACGAAAGGAGGAAAGCGAGGGCCATGCCAAAGTGGCAAAAGTTGCTCCCCATCAGTGACAATTTTTTTCACATTTCTAGAGGGGCAAGTGAAGTTCCTGAACTCTTCAGTAACACGTAAAGACAGAAAAGGGCTGCTGCAGAACAGCTCCGAAGTAAATTATTTTTCTTTTCACTCTAGATTACAAGCAATACATTGGGGCTTTGCTTGTTGTTTCTTAAAGCCAGATTTAATCTGCCCGTCTTCCAAATGCTGCAAGTGTAAGGCAAAATGCTTTACAGGATTTAATTAATATACTGCAAGCAAGGAGTGCTGGTCA